TTTTTTTTTTTTTTTTACTCAGCATCATTTAAGAGTCACCCATGTGTGTTTATGGTTCATTCATTATTTCAATACAAAACAGAAGTATCCCATTGTATGCGAGCAACACAGTTGGTCCGTTTCCCCACTGGGCACTTGGGATGTCCATAGTTTGGACCTATTACAAGTACAGCTGTGGTTGACATTTGGGCGCAGTCGTACACAGAGAGGCATGGACACATTTATTTCTTGAGGTCATTTGGTGCGTATATGTTTAGTCTCTAGGAAACCGAAGTGGTTATACTACTTTGTGTCCCCTTGGGCAATGTAGAAGAGTCACAGTCCTTCCACTTGCTCTCCAATGCTTGTCCTGCTCCGTTGATTTTAAATGTGGGTCGTGCTCATAGATGTGTAAGTACCATGTTATGTTTTGGTTTTCATTTCCCCAGTGACTTAGGGTGCTGAACATCTTTTCATGGGCTTATTTGCCATCCGTGTGTTGCCTGTGGTGAAGTGTCTCTTCAAATATTTGCTTGTGTTTTAAATTGGGTCAACTGTTTCTCTTTATTGAATTTTGAGAGTCCTTTATGTCTTCAGGAGGTGAGGCCACAAACAGACCATTACTGGATAAGTCACTTGCAAACATCATCTTATAGTCTGTGGCTTTTCTTCTCATTCTCTTAATAGCATTTTTTAAAAATCAGAAATTTTAATTTTGGTGAAACTTGTATTTACCAAATGTTTTTCTTTTACAAAGCATTCTTTTGCTGATTCTTATATTTAAGAACTCTGCATAACCCAAGGTCCTAGAGATTTTATGGAGCTTTAGAGTTCTGTAATCTATTTTGTGTTAAATTCTATATATGCTGTGAGCATGGATCAAGGACACCCCCCCCAACTGGGGCAGCACTTTGTGTTGAATTTCCTTTGCAGTATAGTTGAGAAGCAATTGATCATAAACGCATGGATTTACCTCTGGATGTTTTATTTTGTACTATGGATGATGATTTAATTTTTTATGCCAATATGACACTGTCTTGATTATTAATCATTTTATGAGAACTTTTAAAAAAATTTTAAAACTCTTCAAAATTCTTCAACTTTATTATTTTTTACAAAGTTGTTTTGGCTCTTTTGTGACTTTTGTATTTTCATATGAATTTTAGGGTCAAACTAAATTTCTACCAAAAAATATCGTGCTTGGTTTCTTACTGAAACTGTGTTTAATCTGTAGATCAATTAGGGGAGAATTACCATTGTAACCACCCTTTCTGAATTGTTTAAAATCCCATCTGCATCATTTAGACCCTTATAAGCCCAAAGGCTTTACTTAACATCTCTGAGCCTGAATTTTTCTGCCTCTAAAACGGAGGTAGAAATTATTTGGTAATAATAAAAATAGGTTAATCAATATTTGTAAATTGTTTAGTTACTATTTTTTTTTCTTTAGCAAACATTTAATGGATATTGAAAATATAAAGTGTAATAGCATCAGTTAAACCTTTGTTGTTGTTCTGGGGATGGGTTCAGGGAGTACTGGGCTAGATTGGCAGTTCTTTTATATTTTATTTTGAGCAGGGTTTCACTGAGTTGCCCAGGCATCCCTGAACTCACTGTCCTCTTGCCTCAGCCTCCCAAGTAGCTGCGATTATAGGCAGGAGCCACCACTTGTAGCTCTAATTTGTTGTTGTTGTTGTTGTTGTGTTTTTATTGTTGTTTTTTGTTTGTTTGTTTTTGAGACAGGGTCTCACTATGCAGTTGAGACTGACCTGGAACTCACTATGTAGCCCAAGCTGGACTCGAAGCCGCAGCAATCCTCCAGCCTCCGCCTCCTGAGTGCTGGGCTGTTGTTTTTTTTTAATGAGCTCATATTACTTCTGTAGTGGGATTTGTTGTGACATTTTCATACACATAACATATTTCATCTTGCTCTTGTTTTCTACTTTCACTGTAGGAACTAGATTTACAGGAAGTTTTTTGTTTTGTTTTGTTTTTGTACTGGGTATCGAATTCAGGACCTTGTGCTTACAAGGCAGGCAGCAGAACCACTGAGCTAAATCCCTGACGATTTACAGGAAGTTTTACCCAGTTTGGAAACATAATTCACCTTTTACTTTAACTTGACAATGGCATGAGAGCAGAGACCTCTATGCAGAAGAGCTCATTTTGCCTAAGTGCAGCGAGGCCTTGCCAAACCAAACAGTGAGAGCTCCTTGCATGTGTCAGAAATGTCATGGCCAGTTAGTTGGCAGATTCTGTTCACCTAGCTCATTGGCTACTACATACTGGCCACTAAGCAGATCCTATGCTGGGCTCTTGGAATTTAAGAATGAGGCCAGATGTCAGTATTTTCTCCTCCCAAAACTTGTGGATACAGAGAAAGTACAATCATCACTTATTTTGAAATATTTATTATGTAATTGATTATTTATGCACTTAGTTTGTTGAGACAGAGTCTGCTGTGTAGTCCAGGCTGGCCTTATACTCACTGTGTATCTCGGGTTGGCCTCAAAGTCACAGTGATCCTCCTGCCTCAGCCTCTTGAGTGCTAGGATTACAGATGTGCACCTCCATGCCCAGCCCCAGACAGATCATTTCAATGAGACTGATAGGTAAATGAGGAGAGTTCTGGAAATACAGTCGAAGAGGGCTGATTTGGAGCGCTTCCACAGGAAGTGGTCTTGAAGCTGAGGCTTGTTGGGGCAGGGAGGTTGGGGAGAGGGTATGGGAGAAAGAGAGAAAACAGAGTTCTGCGCTTTGTACTGAGAGCACACATCTGGGTACAAAGGAGCGCATGGCACTGGGCCAGAGGAGAGGGGTCCCTCATAAATGAGTGAAGTGCTGTGACTCAGCCCTGATAGTCTACCCGGGAGAGTGGAGATCAGAGAGCAGTTAGGGAGATGGCTGAGGCCTTGAGAGGGCAGGGCAGGTCTGAGGCCAGAGGAGCCAGGAGAGGGGCCGGCAGCCACCAAGCTTCTGACCCAAGCAGCTGTTAGGCAGCTTCATCCCTTGTCTGCTTTGAAGCAGAACACGAGAAAGAAGAAGTGGGTTTGGCATGGGAGAGGACAGACGTTCACTTCTGTTGAAGTTTTGGTGACATTAGGGAGATCGCCCGTGAGTGGCTTGTTGGGGTCAGGGATGCAGTGGCAGCAAGAGAGGCCATGAGGCTCACGGGCCAGGGGCCCAAGAGGGCAGAAGGAAGGAAGGAAGGAAGGAAGGAAGGAAGGTAGGTCGGTCTGTCGGTCTGTCGGTCTGTCGGTCTGTCGGTCTGTCGGTCCGGTCCGAGGACCACCTTTCAATGGTGGACTCGCGCAGCGCAGTGTCTCGGGGATCTGCTGTGCCATCAGAGCCTGTTTCCTTCTGTCCCCGCTGCTGCTCAAGGCCAGCATCTTTGTAACCTGTGCTTGTAGGGTCTGCAGAAGAGCAGGGGCGATGCCAAGAATTCTGGGAGTTGAGTAACACTGTTCTGAAGCGCCACTACTTGGGAATTACCTTTGATTCCTTAACCATTAGAATGGCACTGAAGGAACCTGGATAAATCTTGTTTGTGTGCGTGTATCCCTGAAGGACATGAAGTAGAAACCCCAAGCTCCAGTCACGCACCTGCGAGCACAGCGTGTAGAGGGCGGGTGCAGAGGGTTCGTGGGGACTTTGCCACACTTTGAGGACACTTCCGTGTTTAGAGGAGCCCAGTTCAGATTCTAGCCCACTGCTTCTATTTTACTGCGTGTCCTTGAGGTGGCGTGGCTTGGCTTTTGTCACGCCCGTATCTGGAGGAGGAGGTGGACTTAATACGGGTAACTCAGGATTCCTGCTTTGTCTTTTGGTGACCTTGTGACCTTGAAGAACCACCCCCATTCGTCACCACCTCTACACACCCCTTGAAGCACCCTGGGTTGCTGAAGGTGGAAGGAGTGGCAGGGAAAAGAAACAGATGTGACGTGTTCCCTCCCTCCAGATGTCAGGAATGGCCTGCCCGCCACAGTGCCCTGACGCCAGCGTGGGCTTTGTCCACAGTGCCCTGGCTGCACGCTCTCTTGTGTCAGCATCTCTCTTGTCCTTATCGGCCAGTCGGAAGCTGACGTGTCTGTCTTGTGTGTTACTTCTAGTACAGTAAGATTTACTTTCATAACCGTTTAATAAACAAGTTACAGTTAGTAAATGAAAATTTATTACTGCTCTCTGAAATCTGAAAATATTCCCCCAAGGTTAAAATCTTACCTTTGGTAGACCTTCTAATGAGGAGTTAGAAGGTTTGATCATACTAACAGCTTACCACTGCTTCGAAGGTACTAAGTCTTTGGCGTTATTATAAATGATTCATTTTATTGGTAGAGAAACAGTGAAAAGTGGTGATGAAATTTGCCAAAGCTTTGGAGCTAGTAAGCGTGGAGTTTGGGGTAAACCTTTTCACTGCAGTTCTTTTTTCTGAGCCGCTGTCTTTACTGAAGGTTGCTGGGGAGAAGGAGCCCTAGGGAGTGAGGCGGAGAGGAGGTAGAAGAGGGGAGGGTGTGGGCACGGAGACCAGCTTCAAAACCAAGCAGTAGTTGACACTGCCTGCCACCCTCATGCACACTGCCCCTTGCATGTGCTGTTCGAAGTCAGTTTGGGTTTCAGATGACTTTTAAAAATCACACCAGTGCAGCTGGGCTTGGTGGCGCACACCTGTAATCCCAGCGCTCAGGAGGCTGAGGCAGGAGGATCACTGTGAGTTCAAGACCAGCCTGGGCTACACAGTGAGTTTCCAGGTCAGTCTCACTACATAGTGAGACCCTGTCTCAAAAAAACAAAACAAACAAACAAACAAAAATCTCACCAGTAAAACGAGTGCTTTTTGACCGTTTGTTTACTTGTCAGTAAATAGAAATGATAATGTCTATTTAGCCTTCTCCTTTTGGGGTCAGTCTTTTGAGGATCTAATAAAAATGATAAAAGTTAGTGGTTGAGTGGTATTCTGTGTAAGATGTTCTTCCTCTGTCCATGCTCTGATTGTAATCTAAGGAGACCGGGTACATCCAGATCTACACAGAAATACTATAACTCCTTTTTCTTCAGTTAACCTGCAGAACAATAGATAATTGATTCTTTTGTTGCATTTCTGATTTAGGGTCTGTATGGGCTGTTTTTTGTCTTGTGTTCAATCCTTTATGTTGTAATTTTTAAATTTTATTTATTTATTTATTTTTCTTTATGTTGTAATTTTAGCAAAGATTGTCACTCTCCTGACAGGAATAACAGTGCTTGGATCATCAAGATAAGTCAGTCACTGTCTCTTTGTTTCAGGTTGCATAACTGAATTTTGACACGCTGTGCAATCAAATGAATGAATTGGCAAATATGTACTTAAAAAAAAAACAAAACAAAACTATGGGCCCGGGGATTTGACTCAGTGGTTCCACCACCTGCCTCGCAAGAGCAAGGGTCCGAGTTCGATTCCCGGTACAAACAAAACAAAACCTATTGTGCAAAGCAGTTTTCTTTTTCTTGAATTTTAGGAAACAGATGTCGATGACAGATATGGAGATTTGGATTCCAGAGCAGATTCTGATGTTCCTGAGATCCCGCCGAGCTCCGACAGGACCCCCGCGATCCTGCAGAAAGCACTCTCTGGCTTATCCTCAAGGTCTGACTGCTGGGGGCTGGGTCTTGGTGGCAGGTGACCCTGAGGTTATTCCTCCCCTGTGATCGGTTTGGGGACCACAAGAGAGAAAGCTGATACTTTTTGACTATACAGTGTATGAGGTGTAGTCCTAAGTGTTTGATGTATACGACCTTTACTTTTTTTTATTGTGGTTTTAATTGATCTTAAAATTGCTACCCAGAATCACAGTACTTGACTGTCATTTTCTGTTTGTGCTGCGTCTTTCTTTTTTTTAAATTTATTTTATTTTTTTGGTGCTGGGGATCAAAGTCAAGTCCTTACGCTTGCGAGACAGTCGCCAGAACCACTGAGCTAAATCCCCAGCCCTGTGCTGTGTCTTTAAATGTTTAATGGCCACAACAATTCAGCCCATTTAAATTTAATGAATTATATGTCTTAGTAATATGGTTACAGTGGAATGGGCCAATAATAGTCCAGGGTTGTTTTTTTTTTTTTTTATAATTTATTGAAAGACATCCAGTTGAGCAAGTCCATTTTCTAATGAACAACGAGGAAGGAACTGCTGAGTGTACACATGGTAGTAGGTAGCAAGCAGCTACATTTATTGAAAATCACAGGAAGCTGTGCTCAGGGGTGTCTGTGCCATCAAAGGTATAACACAGACCAAGAAAGGTGCCAGGCTGACAGAAAAGCATTGCACACAGGTCAAAACCATTAGAAAGTATCCCCAGCAAAGAAAAGGGGTGGATACATCAGTGCCTCCCAGTGAATGTCTAGGTGTGACCGACCAGATCCTGAGCCATCTTAGAGGCTCTGACCATGCCTGCTCATCCCAGAATTCACTGCTTTTATTATATTTACGAGCCTGTAACAAGGTGGAAGTAGGGTGAAGGTGACCCGAAGGTCGGGCTAGGAGATCCCATGCACCTGTGCTCTTATTGGGAGCATTGACAGGATCTCGTAACATTTTGTTATTTTATTCTCCACCTCTCTTAGAACAGTGGAAGCAGGAATAACCAGAGGGTACTGTCTAGGATTAAAGGGAGGGAAAGGAATGACTGCCTCAGATCCATTGTCTCTAACTGTGTTAACAGGAACTATAAAATCTTTTAAAGCAAAGTAATATGTTTTATTCAGATTAGTGTGTGATGTTACGTAGTAATAAGAATAGTATTTCCTCAGCTTTTTTGACTGATAAATGGAAGTGAATACATTTTATACTGCATCTAAGAGTCATATTAATAAGAATTTTTTATGTGCTGTAAAAATGCTACGATTGCTGCACGTGGTATCCCCTGACTTCTTTTCTGTTTGATGCTATCCAGTGTTATTGAACACAAGTGCTGGATTCAACTTACTGTCTTGGTTTTTACCACCACAGGTCAAACATAACCTGCATTTTGAAAACAATGGGTTTGGTCATTTCTAGAAAAAATTCTATGAGTTTCACTCTTTCTTACTTTCAAGGGAGAACTATGCTAGGGGAGTAAGGAGGGAAATAGGCTTGGACTCAGTTTTTCCTGCTGTGTTGTTCATAGCCCGGACCTCCTCTCTGATTCTAGAGTATGTGGATTTCTTTCTCCCTCCCTAAGCAAGTGGCAGGCAGTTCTTGAATAGACACCATGGGGTGGGGCTCTGACACAGTCAGCCTGAGGTAGCCTCCGGTCCCTGTTCAAATGCCTGTCAGATGCCTCCAGAGCTTATGGCCAACTGGTTGCAAGTTGGGGTTCCCATAGCCACTCTTTTTCCTCAGTTTGTTAAAGCAGTTCGTGGAATGCAGCCGAAACACAGGCTTCTAGTCACCAGGTTGTTTTAAAGACTCTACTGGATAAGGCCAAGCAGGCAGAAGAGGTCCCTGGGCTGGCTCTGAGGAAAGTCTTAAACACAGGACCTTTGGGGCCCGCCCGTCCAAGCACACACCCCAGGCTGGGTTCTCATCACCCACCTGCAGGTCTCCGAGTGTCAGCTGCAGGGGCTCCTGGGCCTTGTCCTGCTGGGATTGCACAGGGACTCTCTTAGCACACGCCGCCATGGTACATGTGCTGGGCCACTCACCAAGGGGACCCAGCAAGGCTGGCCATGCGGGTCCTTACCCGCTGGCTGCCTGCACAGTGTCCCCTCCTCCTAGATGGGGGCAGGAGTACCTGAGACAAGGGTATAGCATCTGCAGCTGGCTTCACCATACAAAGGGAGGGAAAATTAGAGTGTAGGGTTAGTTTCTATGTCTTGCCTTCAGGAAGAGAAATTCACAGTTTCCATGCCTATCTTAGAAAAACAGAGCAGATGATAAGGACAGGAGGAGAGAAGAATTTTGCTTTGATGTCTCTTCTGAGGCATTAGTCTAGTCATTTAGGGACTTATACACCTGAGTTGTGGCTGTAAAGCAAAATGTATGCATCATAATGCCTTAACCATATTAGAATAAACTGGTTCAGAGAAAGGTCTTCAGATTTCTTTTTCTTTTGAATCTTTAGATTTTTTTAACCAACGGGACAAATCTGTGCTGTCTTTTATTGAAAGCAGGATTATTAGCTTCATGGTTCATGTTCCCAGTTGTTTTCATGACCTAGATCACAGGGGTCCCTTAGCTTTTAAATCTCATCAGGTCTGTCTCAGACCTGAAGTGTTTTATAATTGGTGTTCTGTAAGGAAAATGCCTCATTCCTGTATACCACTCCTAAGGAGACCTTCCTTCCTCAGTAAGGACTTCTTTTCTAGTATAAGGTAACAGTAACAAATAATAGCAGCTGGTATCCACCCGGCATATGTCAAGGGTTAAGTGCTGCTCCATTGTTTCTGTCCGGACCTGGCAGCCCTGATACACAGTTACAGCTCTGCAGCTATTTAGTAACTGAGGAACTGGAGGCCCAGAGATACTGTGTCAGGGCTCATGTAGCTACTCAGTGCTGGAGGTGCTTTCAGACTGGCACTGGGGCTTTGATACCTGTGTTCCTACCTATGCTATGTATGAGAGAGTTGTTTTTTGTTTGTTGATTGGTTGGTTTGTTTTTTAGAAACAGAACAGTGGTGTAATACCCAGGCAAATGGGCCCTGACCCTCCTCAGAGCTCGCTGACCTGGCGAGGTGGCCCTGTCCCTCCTCGGGCCCCTCCTCCAGCTGGTGTTTGGCTCTGGGTGGAGACAGTGTAGGTTGTCACAGCAGTGGCGCTACTGCTGGTAGGTAGTGTGTGGAGCACAGGCACACTGGGATGTCCCAGAGAAGCCTCTCATAGCACAGGGTGATGTGGCCCAGAATGTCACCGGTCAGTAGGCTGTGAGACCCCGAAACGTCCATGGTGACCTTTTTGGTGTTCTTAGACTTTATGATGCCTTCCTCCTCCAGAGAACCCCCTCACTCCTGCCCACATCTGGGGCTCCAGGCTCCTTTGTCCGTCGTGGCCCCAACTGTCCTGGACCTGGCCTCCTGAGGACCTCTCTGCAACCTTAGGTGAACTGCCTTGTACCCATCCAGGTTCTTGGTGACTGTGATACTTGTGCCTCTAGGAAAGTAATTTCTAAAAATCTTTTCATTAACTTTTAAAATGGAAACAACTCCCTAGCTGTAGTAATAACAAAACATTTTGTACCACATAGCATTTTCAACAGTTTAAGTGTGTAACCATTCAGGAGGTTTTGTGTGTGTGTGTGTGTGTGTGTGTGTGTGTGTGTGTGTGTGTGTGGTGCTGAGGATTGAACCCAGGACTTCATGCATGCTAAGCACATTCTGTACCACTGAGCTAATCCCTGGACCTAAAATGATCACTTTTAAGGGTGCTGCATCTTTTGTTTGTTTGTTTTTTGAGATAGGGTCTTACTATGTAGTTGAGGCTGACCTGGAACTCACTATGTAGTCCAGGCTGGTCTTGAACTTACAGCGATCCTCCTGCTTCAGCCTCCTGAGTGCTGGGATTACAAGCGTGCACCACCACACCCAGCAAGGATGCTGCATCATAAAATTACTGTTGGGTTGACCTGGCCATCAGATGAGGGCTTCTCTTAATGTGAGTGCTGTAGTGAGGCAAAGAAACCAGGAGTTCTGGGCCCAGAACCAGACCACCCTGTCTTGGGCCGCAGTGATTGCCCCTCCCCATGCATCATTTTGAATCCAGTGCTTCTCCCTGAAAGATGGGTTTTGGCTCTAAGTGCATTGTGTTCCCCAGGGTTCATGTGTGGGAAACTGAGTCCCCCATGAGACAAGGCTGAGGGGTGAGACCCAGTAAGAATGGGAGTGCCCACATGAGTAGATGGATGTCCCTGCATGGTGTAAGTCAGTTGTCACTGGACAGCTTGTTGCAGAAGTGACCTTGGCCCCTCTTGCTTGCTCGCAGTCTTGTCCCTTTACCATGAGCTAGTGTAGAGCCTCGCCAGTGGCCACACCTTGATGCTGGACCCAGCCTGCAGACTGGTAGAAGCAAACCTCTGTTCTTCATGTTACCCAGACTGTGACATTCTATTATAGCAGCAGAAAACAGTTTAGGACACAGTATCCATGGGTGTGTGTGTCTACTCTGTGTCCAGGCATTCTTGGGAAACTTAGAGGAGAGCCATTTGAATGACAGTAGGATATTAAATCCTTACTTTTGATGTATGTGTGGTGGGGTGGTTTTCAGGGGTAGGAAAGACCACTAGAATATGTTCCTCAGAGGCTCAGGTTTTCAGTTGTCACAAATGTTGAAAAGTGCTACGAAGAGAGTGGCTTTCCTGTTGAAAGTCTCTGAGTCGGTCCTCCTGGCTGCTGGCTGCACCTGCCTGGGACAGGTTCTGGCACTGGGAAGAGGTCTCCCTGATTCTGTGCCCGAGAGTCAGTTCTAAGGAAGAGCGGATAAACATCTGGCTTTCATGCAGATGGGACAGGAGTATTATCCATGGCTGACTTAAGGTCCTTTATTTACTCTGACAAGCTTTGTGACTTAGCCCAGCTTCCTAATCCATTCGTTAATCCACAAATAGTTCTGTCTGTGAAACTGAATGGAGTCTTACAGCTAGAGCAGAATTTGCTCTATGCCCATTTTCTACTTTAGCCACAAAGCTTATGGTCACACAAGAAATATATCAATGTTAAACAGAGAGGGAAGTGAATCTGGGTACCTTGTGAAAAGAGTTGGAAGCTGCAAAGAGTATGGACTTATGCTGTTGGCATTTTAGATCCTCTAGTGCAGAAATAACATGATAAAAGGACTAATCAAAAAAGTATGTAAGCCAGGCATGGTGGCACACACCTGTAATCCCATAGTCACAGCATTTAGGAGGCTGAGGCAGGAGGAATGCCCAGAGTTTAAGACCAGCCTGGACTATGTAGTGAGTTCAGCCTGAACTACAAAGGGAGACCCTGCCTCAAAAAAAAAAAATTGTAAGCTGGGTGGGACAGTGGTTAAAAGCTGGGAATATAACCACTGTCTTATAAATGGATGACCTCAGCTAATGTTTCTCTTGCAAAAGGGAATGAGGACATAAAGCACATGTAGGTTGGCTTTAAGTGGAATACAAATTTTTGTAACATGTATTTATGTACTTATTCATTAGTACAATGTTTGTAGTACATGAAGTTTACGTTCATTTTGGGGAATAAAGGTTATTATTTGAATTAATAGCAATCATAAAAATGTTGAAAAACAGCAACAATCAGGATCAGAATTCATCAGCGTATAGGTGCATTCATAATATTTTTCTTTCCTTTTTGGGGGGGTATGACAGCAGGTTGGGGAGACTGGGTTTTATGGTGTTGCCTGAGCTGGTCTTGAATGCCTAGGCTCAAGTGATCCTCCTGCCTCAGCCTCCTGAGTAGCTGGGACTTTAGGCACACTCCACCATGCCTGGCTTTAAAACTCATAAGATGGTTTTGGAAGTCATCACCCATGTATTGGAATTATTATGGACTTTTTTCAAACAATGGCTGGCATTTATTGTGATGTGGGCCTCTTTTGCTGATAGGGCACACAGGAAATGGGAGGTTCCTTTGGTGTGCAGGAGGGAGACCGCACCCTAGAACAAGGAGGGGCCGTGGATGGGAAGTGCTTTTCTCCTCCAGGCTCTGCCCCTAATGAAAGTGCACAGGCAGTGCCCTCTGAGCAGCGGAGGCAGTGTGCTTTGATCTGACAGTGCCCGTCCTGAGCACCCAGGACTGTCCTCCCCTACTCACCAAAATCCCTGGTCTTCCAGACTCACTGTTGAGTTTTTCTGCCATTGCTTTTTCTCAAAGGCAGGCTACGCTGCCTGCGCCTCCTTCTAAATCCTTGGTGTCTTCATCTTGCATCCTGAAGCACTGAGGGAAGAGGGCGATCTTTTCCTAGGGCTTTGGCCCGGGCTTGCTCTCCGCTTCCCCTGACCCTGTTGGGGTGTGGCTTGTGCACCCAGGACCACCTCGACTGCCAGCTCAGCACAGAGCCTTGTTCCCAGGAGTACATCATTTGCTTTCCTTGCCTCACATAACTACAGTGAGCACTTAGTGAGCAACTTGCACTGTTGCTTGTTTTTGTTCCTTGTGGCTCTATAACATGAAGTAAGGCCCTCTCAGGGAAGATAGGGACAGCTCTTCATTCTGGCTACTCGATACCAAAATCCCATGGAGAGCTTTCAGATCATATGAAATACTAATGTTACAAACACCTTCATTGTAGGTGGAAAAACTGGTGGATCCGTGGGATCCTCACTCTGACGATGATTTCGCTGTTCTTCCTGATCATCTACATGGGGTCCTTCATGCTGATGCTGCTGGTGAGTATCTCATTTTCCGTCAGTGCCCTTTGCCTGGTTTCTCAGTATTTACACAACTGAAAAAATGTGAGCATATCATTAAAAAAAAGGCAATCCATAGTTAGCGACAGCAACCTCGGTTCCTTTAAGCATCCTCTGGTCTGTGGCATGGTCTGGACTCTTCCACATGATGTCCCTTTAGCAGAGACCAAGAGTGTGTGAGAAACACATCTGCATGTTACTGTGCTTAGCATCAGCTTAGAGCATCAGAAACACCCACAGCTGCATCGCGTAATGATTGTAGCCAGATCCCCGACTTTAAGGAGAGCACAGTGACTGGCAGAGTCAGGTGAATAGTCAGGTGACTAAGCCATGTAGGAAATTAGGAGGGCCAGTCCCGTGACAGAGCATGTTGGGAGAGTGCAGGAGAAATCGTCCAGACCAGTCTGAGGGAAGGGCTTCCAGAAGTGCTGCACTCTAAGGCTGAGACAGAAGGCAGGCCGGACGGGCCACAGGGACAGCACTGGAGATCTCGAGAGGCTGCAGTCTGTGGAGGTGGCAAGGGTTGAGGAGGGAGGAGCAGAAAAGCCACCCTGGGAGTCTGGGATCTTGTCGTTACAGAAAGCCCAGCGAGTCACGAAGACAAGCTAGTTCACAAGTGTCTGTGAGATGCTTTCTGGGTGCTCGGTTTTACCCCAGCCTGGGGAAGGAGCTGGGAGGCCTTCCAGAAGCACTGTGCTAAGCACCTGAGCTGCAGTGTGAGGTTGATCAGGAGTTAGAGGTGAGGGGGAGCCCAGGAGAGGAAGGGTGCCCACCGACCTAGGGTTCACCTCCTGTGTGGGCAGCAGTGAGGGAGCCAGGAGATAGGCGTGCTGCTGAGCGCAGTGGTCAGACACCTCTGGGCGCTGAGCAAGGTGCAGCAGGGAATCGCGGGTCACACTCCCGGGTGTGCATCGTGCCCCTCGTTATTAGCACCCAGTGCTGAGCTGGGAAGGAGGCAAAACTGTCTGCCTCACTGGCGCTCTGCACACTGCCCGGCCGAGCTGGCCTTTCCGTGGTTTGTTATTGTCTTCACTCTCTTGGTTCAGCCTCACTCAAACCCACCTCCTTGTTCTCCCACTGTGCTTGCCCACCTGAAAAAGGAGCTCCCTCCCACTCGGCATCCATGTTCCATACCTGGTCCCGTTAAGAGCAGGTCAGTTTGTGGGCAGCATGGTATGGTTTCCTTCTTATTTTATAAAAGCTAAGCTGTAAAGCAAAATTAGACCTAACAGAAAGTCTGTCACTTCACAAAACCATGTATAGTGGCTCTTGCAAGTGCCACAAAGCCTCTTTTGCTTTTATTTTCATCTGATTAATTTTGAACTTCTTTGGGGCTATCAAGGTAATGAAAATGAATAAGAAATTACTTTTATTGTTTGGTTAATTTGCTGATATCTTAAAGGGCTTTTTCCTGACAAAGTAGACATGGGTAGGACAGAGTGAGTGTGGGCAGAGGACGCAGAGGACAGAGGTCCAGCTGGGTGCCGTGTGTGATGGTGGGGGTCCCCGGCGCCCACACCTCTCAGGCCCGAAATCACTCTCCCGGCCTGTGAATTCAAACACTTCAGAATATGCATGCAGAGACCTTGCTGGGGCTGCCTGGGGAAGAAGACACCAGGTGGTGTGCAGAGCCCAGGGAGGCTTTGTGCAAGGGCCCAAAGGCCTGGAGAGTCTGTCAGGGCGAGGGTCACCATGAGCAGCATCCCAGCAGCTAGTGCTTCTGAGAAAGGTGCTGTTACTGGAGCATAGGCCTTCAACCTGGAGAGACAAATTGGCACCAGATTCTGTCAGGCCTTGAAACAGCTGTGGGGAAGTTTGGTTTTTATTTGGAAAGCAGTGAGGAGCTATTGAAAATACTGGAGGTCATCTGAGTTATTTCCGCTGTAAAAGAAGATTCTGCCCTAAGGGACACAAAATGTGAGTGTCCTTGCTGATTTGGCTTGGGCTGCTGTGGCGTCCACATTGGACACAGTGACTGGGCAAGGCTCTGCAGATAAAGACTGATTCTTAGCCCCCTTTTGTGACAAAATCCCGAACAATTTAAAGGACACTCACGCATATTTTAAATTTTCATCCTTTAAGGCAATCATAAAACTACCTAATGTACTTGGCTTTTAAATTTTTTTGTGTGTGCTTTGACAGGAAAATACAGTTTTGTTATAAAGTATTTATTTTGGTGAGTTAACCAGAGAAAACAATAAGAATGTTAAAGGTCTATTTAATTCGTGAACTGTTACTGATTACTTAAGCTTGTTACATGTAATATATGTATACACATATATTACTTTATATGATATTTATGTTAAGGGAATGGGAAAGAGAGCTTGTGTGGAGGTTCTAGCAGGGGGAGCGCAGCTACTTGACCGAGGAAATGGTCCTCCTCTATGGGGTGGTTGTCCTCTTTGACCAAGTGTGCAGCTTTGGGAGGAATGCACATGAAGCAGTGAGGGAGGGAAGAGACACCCACCTAGCCAGCCACATCAGCCGAATCAACCCTAGCAATCAGTAGGGTGACGGATGTTGCATCCAGGTCACCCTCACATCTGCAAGGAATAGGAATGGCACGTGAAGTTGGTACTCAACTTCAACCTGTTTTTATACATTTTAAAGCTTTTTTTCTATTCATATCAATAGCTTGATCATTTATATTTTGAAAAGAAATATTATACCAAGCTTGCATTTGCTTTATAATGTCAGCCCTCACTGATGACTAATTCAAGATAGTGTCATGAAAAACTTCCTCCTAGAATGATCGCTACTCTCAGAACTCTAAGAAGGACATTTTCCTTCACTCACTGACAGTTCCTCAGTTGCTGTATTCTCGGCTTGAAATTGTGTTAAGTGATGCAGTTATTAAAGCACATTTTGATTTAAAGGCAGATAGGAATGTATAAACGATATTGTAAGAGGTTCTCCCCAGTCTTTGGAAACTACTACAAAATTAAATACTTGTATTATTATTTTTAATCAGGCTGCATTTTTTCCATTGTGAGAGTTGAAAGAGTACAGTGTAGTATTTTTGAAAATAAATAATTTAAAAGATTTCAAAATTTGTGGCACTGAGGATTGAACTCAGGGCCTTCACACGGAGCTACCTCCCCAGCCCCCTATAAGATTAGTTTCTTAGAAAAATTCCCGAAGTGGAAATTGATCCTTGTATTTGGATAATCCATAGGTGCCATAGTTGACACTCCACAGGTCCCAGTGTTAACATGGATTCTATGCCCCAGCCACCCTGTGTTCACCTGTGTGCTTTCTTAGCCTTCTTCGGTATTACTCTGCTTCCTTGGGTCCCTTAACACCACCCACACCTTTACCTCAGCCGCCAAATCCAGTCAATTCTACCTCCTCGGTAGCTTAAATTCAATGTGCTATTTGATACATAGGGAAATACTCTTTTGAGTCTCTAGTTGCACTATTGTGATTGCCTCAGCGTCCTGAGTTGTTTCAAAATGGTTCCCTTTCGTGGTCGTGTTGACTTTAGAAGAACCAGAAGTGAGGTACCAGATGCGGTGAATGCGGTGGATGAGGGCAAGTGTAATATTTATATGACCCTCCCTTTGCCTTGGATGGCACTGGCAATAACACTGACCATATTTTTGATCATACTTTGTAAAGGCACTCACGAAAGAGGACTTCCGGAAGTGCTTTGGAAAGTAGCGAGGACCGTGAGAGGGGTGTGTTGGAAGCAAGGAGGAGGATTTTGAGGGGGATTAATGGCCATGTGTCTTTTACTGTAACCATGCTTTTCAGCGTACATGCCATACGTTTTGATCATACCTTGAACCTTGTCCTCATCCGTACTCCGTGGGATGTGCCACCTGCCTGCATTACTGCCTCTGTTCTTCCCACCTTTGTTGTCATTCCCTTCCCTTGAGCAGCCAGGCCCGGCGCTCTCTCCCCACCCCACCTCTGTGTTCCAGCAACTCAGAACTGCCTGTCCCTTGCCGTGTCTCCTCCCCTGCAGACACGACCCGGCACGTTCCCCTCCAGGGCCCAGCTGCCACCACCCTGCCCCAGACATAGCTGTGCCGGGCAGGCATCGTGCTTCCTCCCTCTTAGACACAGATGCCCTCCCTGTGTTGTTTCTGCAGGTCCTCGGGAATCAGTGGAGTAGGTCCGGAGTACTTACTGTTGTTAGGGCTCTTTATACATTAACTGAGCCGACAGCGTTCTGTAAGTACACTGGTTACCAGTGTCAACACCACAGAGTAACAATTTCTGTGCAGTCACCCAGCCCTAGATAATACACATATGTTTTGAGGGTTTTAACTCTAGTGCTTTGAATTCCCTGTGTTCTGTTTTCTCAGGAGTTCTGTGCTAACTTTCCTTGCAAGCTGTAATTGGTGATCACATAAAATATATGTGTGCTCTTCAAAGCACTTTCTTCCATGCCTCACTAACACCCATGTATGATGCTGATGGTTGTAATCAAGCAAGTGTGCTCGTAGAGATTGCATCAGTGCACTTGGTATTTTAAGGGCCTTCTGGGTCTATAAACACTGCCTTTGCAATTTTATCTGAACAGAGAGCATTGTCCTCCTGATTATTTTTTGTTAAAAAATGAATAAGTTGTACACAAAGGATATTTGAAGAACATTTAAATATCTGCTTGTCTTTATGACACAGTACTTTTCCCCAAAGTACTCTTTACAGGAGCTTATCACATGGCTGATTAGACATGTAGTCAGTGTAAGGGGGAAAGTAAGAATATCCTGAATGGTAGGTTTTGAAAGCTAATTTGTGGAAATCTTAAACCACAGAGTGTGTCCTCAGGCTGAGGTTGTAACCTTTCTCTATTTGGATCAGATAGTAAGACTTTCACTTAGACTTTACGGTTCTTTCACGTCGTGTTTTATTTTTAAGACTCTTTAAGTGATATAAACCTATCCTTAGCCCTTGGTGTGCTCTCCAGAGGTGAAAGAATCTCCTGTGTCCGCACACATTCTCTCCTCTGAGCTGATGGTACACAGGCCTCAGCTCTCAGGTGTGCATTAGCCAAGAAGCCAGTAAGATGCTGCGCCTTGAGGAGGGGCCTTCACCAGATCAGCAGACGTGCAGGTTTGAAGGACTGTTAAACAGCACCAGACAGGCGTGGACTCGGGACACTGGGCGCTCAGAGTGCTTCAGCTTCCCTGAGTGGCCTGCATCTGTGCGCATGGACGGCAGCCTGTTCCCCATGGTTGTACTGCTCGGCTTGACCAGAGCTGTTGCCGGTAGGGCACAGTTGGCTCAGCTATGAGAAAGAAAAAGCCATTCACACTCTTGGTGACTGGGTAGAAGCTGTTTTACCCATCTGTCCTGACAGTGCCTGGGTCCTTTGTGACTGTACCAGCATGTTCCGCTGAGTATAAGTGCATATTGGGAACCTTTCATGTGTCATCACTTTCTAAGGAAACTAGAGACAAGTGAAAAAATGAAACTGAAAGGCTGTGAGTCGATAATGATGGATTGGAGGTGTAGCTCAGCAGCGCCACGCCTGCCTGGCAAGCACAAGGTCCTGAGTTCAATCCCCAGTACCAATAATAATAATATAATAATAACAGTGGTGGTGATGATGATGATGATGATGATGATGGATAAAGTGTGGTCAGCTGGCCAACTCAGTACCAATAATAATAATATAATAATAACAGTGGTGGTGATGATGATGATGATGATGATGATGATGGATAAAGTGTGGTCAGCTGGCCAATCAGACTATATCCCTTGAATTTTTAACTCCAGTGCTGCCCCTTAAACCTTGCAAAAGGTCTCCTGGAGTTTTTTGAATGAAATGTTTTCTTGCCCCTTTAGAGAGTTACTTGATTGTTTGTTTATTTTTTAAAAAGTGTTTTTTTGGTACTGTGGATCAAACTTGGGACCTTGCATTTGCAAAGCAGGTGGCGGCACCACTGAGCTAAATCCCTGGCAATTTTTTTTTTTTTTCTGGTACTGGTAATCCGACTGAGGACCTTGCACTTGGCAGGCAGGCAGGCACAGCACCACTTGATTTATAGTGACATTGAATATTCCATCTTTGCTATTTTAGAATAATTAAAGGATGATTTCTAAAATATATATAATAAGCTGCTTTTAGATGATTAGGCACAAAGGTCCACATTAAAAAATATGTGTTAATGTCTTCTTTTGGTTTCAGGTTCTGGGCATCCAAGTGAAATGCTTCCATGAAATTATCACGATAGGTTACAGAGTCTACCATTCTTATGATCTTCCATGGTTCAGAACACTCAGTTGGTGAGTAAACATCATTTCTAAAGTTTGTAGGAGAAGCATCCTGATTGGCCAATAGCCAGTCAGTTTCCATTGCACAGTGGTTTTGGTGAATGGTAAAAAGACTACAATAGAATCTTGAAAAGAAGAAAATCACCTTTATCACTCTCTAGTGTACCTTTTTGCATCTGTCTTCAGTCTTTGTAAAGATATCTAAACATCATTCTTATTCTTTTTCTTAAAAAATTCAGCATTGTGTCAGACACATTTTAGTTCCTGATCATAATGTATCAAAATTTTACTTACAGGGCAGGGATTTAGCTCACTTGCCCCGTGCTTGCCTTACAAAGTGCAAGGTCCTCAGTGCAAACTTATAATCTTTTACTTTAGTTCCCCTCAGTTCACATGAGAACACACAATATGGTGTATGCAAATATGTATAAAGTTGAGGGAAAAATCACTATGATTTTAACATTCAAATGTTTAAATATTTTTAAAACTTTCAGGTATAAATGATACCTATTAAGATCTTGACTAGGAAACATAATAATCCAATAGTTCATAAAGTCACCATGCCTTTTAACATAGTTGTTTGGTTAGTTTCAGCCAAGGAGTCTGTCTTATTAAAACAGATGTATTGCTTTGGGGTTTAGAGTAGTTAAAAAACACAACTCTTTGTTTTGGTGACAGCTGATTTTTTTTCCCCCTCCTAGCAGGTTTCTTTATAAGTGGCAAAGTGTATGGATAATATTAGGCAGATAAAATAATTGGAAAACAATTAAATGCTAAATTATGCAGGCTTTATTCTTAGTATACAAAAAGAAAAAGTTGCCAGGCTGGGCTCCAAGGACTGCAGAAAGCTTCATAGAAGAGGCGAGGAAGACAGTGGCCCTTGGAGTAAAGGCTGGCTTTGGGGAGAGGTACATCCTGGGTTGGGAGAGTAGGGCCGTCAGGCTGTAGGTACGGGATGCGTGTATCCATGTCCCACAGTGGTGAGACTACTGGTTTTATTGACCAGATGTATGGGGAAATTTTTGGCAGAAATTGGGGTAGGAGGACAGAGGTGGGCCTTGGTAGCCTTACAGAGGGGTCTGAGACAGCTTCCTTTGTAGGGAAATAGAGAAATGGCCTTACCATAACTGGGAATGGGAACACTTGTCTTTGCTCCAGGGCAGGGCTTGAGTCCAGCATGAGAACCAGCGGGAAGCTGTTGCCTCTTCTTCCCTGCTGCCCAACAACAGGACTCTGACATTCATGGGAGGCAGGCAGCACAGGAACTCTCCAGCCAGGTTTCTGAACCCTTTTCCTGGCCCATCCACGCTCCATTTGCAAAATCTGTGGGCTTGGCCTCTCCCGAAGAAGGGGACACACCAGAACTGGCAGGCGGGGCACAGGTGGCTCAGGACGTTCTCAGCAGCTTCTCCCAGAGTTTGACCAGCTGCTCAGTCCAATCTTCCAGTGTCCTTTGGATAACTGCTAGCCTGTAGTCCATCAGAGCAAAGGGCAGTGGTGGTTCTGGTGCCATGTGGGGTGGTGGCAAGGCTGAGTGACTTCTTCTTGCCCACCCACAGCCTTCTGTAGGGCAGCTGGGCTGGCGTCTGGTGAGTTCCATCTGAAAACTCCTTACAGCTGGGAGGAGGGTAGAGCAGTAGTAATATAGTTTCTACGTTGTTGACTGTGGCACTATATTATAAGTTAATTAAAGACACTGCACTATGTCGAGGAGATTGATTTTGACTGGTAAGTTTGAAGTTAAGTTTAAAAATCAGGAAATAGCACTTTGGAGCAGTGTATTTTGAATTGTTCTTCTGAACTTGGTTTTGATCTTTGCATCACCATCATCAAAACATCTGTTGAATTAGAGAGCGGGTAAAGGCTTCAGGTACGATAAACCTGTTTGTAAATTCCAGGTACTTTCTGCTGTGTGTGAACTACTTTTTCTATGGAGAGACTGTTGCTGATTATTTTGCTACATTTGTTCAAAGAGAAGAACAACTTCAGTTCCTCATTCGCTATCATAGATTCATATCATTTGCACTCTATCTAGCAGGTAAGCTGAGGGGCTGTTCTGTATTGGTAGCAAACGTATTTTCCATGCTTAGCTTTACTTATGCTGTGTTTCCTCGTGATGCCCTGTATTTGTCCTGTTCGTATTCCAGGGGTCTTAAAAAGCACTTACTTCCTAAGGTGGTTTAAAAAGTACTTGATAAATGGTCAATTCACAGTTTTGAAAACTTCCTTGTGCAAATTAAAGGAACTTCAAAGTGTACAATGATTATTAACTGAATATAAAGAAAATTTCAGAGAGAGAGAGAGAAGGAGGGAGAGGGAAAGAGACAAAAGGGAGCACCCAAGAGAAGGGAGCACTTTGATTAATAGAATTAATCAAGGTAATGAGTTTTCCTGACTATTAAATATTTTGTATTTATAGTTTATTAAGTATGCTGCCTTGTCATGCACTATGCCATATGTTTTCATTCTCTTAGATTAAAAATCAGATATCTAAAGTTAGAATTAACATTTTTTCTCTGTAAAATTTTACCAATCATAAACGAAATCTCTAAGAAGTCTGTTTAAAGATGTCGTCTTCCAAGAGGGCTGATGGAAATCCTAGCCCTACCGAATACTTGGACTCGACTAAAACCTGGGGAATTTAACTCATCTCTGTGTGCCTCAGTTTCTCTGTAGAGCCCTTAGAAGACTGCCTGTCCCTGCTTAATATTTGTTGCCATTATTATTTTCACTTTGAAAGAAGGCAGTGAAATGTTTGTTTGTGAATGTTCACTGTAGCTGTTATTTTCTCTTTAGCACCTAGATGTTTCTCTGCAAACTCCTGTTCTGGAAATGTAATACAAAATAGGTGATTCCTTTGCATTTCCATTTAGCTGCACCCCGGCCGTGCTGTGGGACGTGGGTCGTCCTTAGGGTGTCATTTCATGCCATCCCTGTGATGTCCTTCAGGGGTCCCAGCCGGATCCAGGGCTATTCAGGTCCTCTGCATTTGATTCTAGGGAACTGGAACATGAAGCAGTCTGACGTGGTGGCGGTGATCGTCTTGGCTACTTTCCTCAAGTGACAAAGTACCCAAGAGCTAAAGTTAAAGGACAACAGGTCTATGTGGCGCACAGTTTGTAGAGGAGTCAGTCCCTAATTGCTGGCCCCAAGGCAGGGTGGGACGGCAGAGCAGGCAAAAAAGCCGCAGCAAACAACTGCAGCAGCGCTGGGTCTGTCCTTTGTATTCCATCCAGGCTACCTGTCCTTAAGTGGGGCACCCTTCGCCCCAACATCACACACACCACATCCGTCCACCTCCAAAAAGCTCCAGCTGTGACTGCATGCTGCTCTGGGGGGACATCTGGGTAGAAGCCCTGATAGTGATTTTTTCAGAGATCTGACGCTTTTGTTCAAAGCACGAAAGGCTGCATTTTCTAAAAGAGTCACCTCCTTTTGTATCAGGGTTTTTGTTCAGCCCAGCTTTCTGACTCCACTTTATTTTGAAAAATTATTACCATTATATTTTCAGAAAGTAAATTCTTAGAAATAAGCATTAAAGTATTTCTCTTCTTTCAAGGGGAGAGGAAGATGCACATTTGGAGGTATAGTTGGTCCATTTTAAACTGTGGTAGATTTGAGGGATTACAGTTGTATGGTGCTTGGCATGGTGCTAAAAAGATCACCTAAAATTTATAGGGTGAAACATTTGAATTCAGTTTTGTCTTTATCAAAGCACATTTGTGGCATTATTTCTTGGGTAAGACTTTTGAGTGTTTTATCAAGTCAGCAAACTTATTTCTTTAAAAGAAAGCTGGAGAAGAAATGGAATCAAAATCTTTGCAAATAGGGGAGGGTGGAAGGGGTGAAGGGAGAGCAGAGGTATGGGGAAAAAATGAGAACCAAGATCTGTCCTGTAAGGGTACAAGATCCCAGTGATGAATTAAACTCAGTAAGGTTAAAAAAAAAAAAAAAAAAA